TACCCGACAGTACGCTGTACATGACAGCGTTTGTGACTCTTCATTTAGCAAATGCTGTTATATCACTTAAAGCCCCAGAAGCTGTTGGAAATGCACACCTCCAGCCAAAGGACTCCACCTTAAACACAAAGCCTTCTCTGTTAAGGTAGAATTACAGCCCCAGACATAGGATACCATTCATTACGGCATGAGACTGTTTACTGTTTAAATCCCTGCTCTTTGCACATTATTGACACTATAGACTTAGCTTTGAATCCACACTTGCTGTTTCTTGCACTTTATTTCAACAATAAACAATTGTGTGCTGCTCAACACAAAATATAGTGAGAATACTTAGTATTAATTTGAACCATAGCTAACAAAATACACGCACACATACTGTAAAAGATTTAAAGTGAACTAGGAGACACTCCCAGATATCACAGAAAAGTCACCTTGACCTTTGAGCAAACATGGCGCTGACAGTGTGTGTGTGTGTGTTTTTTCTTTTGGGGGGTGGAGTTAATGAATGAATGACCAAATTAAGATACTGTGGATTGTGATGACATAGTGGGTAATTTCATACCATCTCTTTTAAGATGCTTTCAGTAATTACAGTATGCATTTCACTCCTGACCTGAGGAGCATTGTTAGCAGTCTCACCTGCTGGTTGACGGAATTTGTTGATGGCATTGTCCTCAGTGATTTCGCAGGTGAATGTCGTAATGAGCAGCATCTTGTCAGAGTGTACCTCAGGTTGGAGGGCTCTCAGAAAATGGAAAATATTAAATATAAGTGTTTGTACTTCACCTTAACCTACAGTACACATGATTCTTTACAGTCTTGCACTGTTTCATAGAGAATGGAGGTGGGACAGTACAGAAAATGCAAACCAGATTTCATCATGGCATACTTAAGTGTGTGTTCATCGGGAGCACACATGCTTTCACCTAATTGTGTTCTTTTCACTGAGCTGACATTTTTGATTTTGTGAATGTACTACACAAAACTCAGTGGGTGTGACTCAGGGCGCTGCATGTAGAAAGGCTAATATGTATTCCGCAGCTGTGTGTTGTGCTGTTGACCTTCACTGTGGTGTCACTGGTGACGGTATCCTAAGCTCTTCAATATCCGGTTTGTAAATTTGCGCATGCTGTTGGTGGGTAAGGATGTTGACTTTGTGCATTCTAGATAAAAGGTGGTGTGTGTGTGTGTCCTGCAAGTGTTGAGAGAACAGTATTATAACATTTTCTATTCATCTCCACATTATCCCCCATGTCACTGTGCTTCTCCTAATTCTACAGCTGCTTATCTAGAGAAGTAGCAACGGCTCCCTCCGCAGCATTGTTTTCCAAAGGAAGCAGATCTTTTGATGAATGGGTGGTGTAAGAGAGTCACTCAGTCCAGCCTGGGCCGGCTTTATCTGTTAGACTTTAGCCAGCATGTTTGGTGTTTAGTTGCCACGGAGCTCTGGGAGCCTTGGCTGGGCTGTATGACTGGGTGGTGACTCAGAGGTTTTTCATGGCCTCTGGAATGGGCTGACTGTGGAGTCACTAGCGGGAAGTCGAGTTTATTAATATACACTGACTGGCTGGTTTGAGGAGCCACTGAAATGAGCTTCCGGG